AAAAAAAAAAATGTTAAAAAATCACAATTTTTTAGATTTTTTTTTTTTTTTTTTTATTTTTTTTTTTTTTTTTTTGGACATACCATTCGCTGCACCTGGCTCCAATTAGAGAGTTTTTGGTTCCTGAATAAGATGAAGCCTCGATGTTCGCTCTCGTACTTTCGCCGGACAATTAATTCGAACTGAAAAGGAAAAATCATATTGTAACACAGAGATTTTTATCACAAAATTTTTATTATACTGAATAGAAATACGCCGTTCTCGCGTTATCGCCCGGTAATGTTTTGTTCCGATTAAAAGACGGAAATAATTCGTTTGGTATCCGTGCGCGATATTAAAAGGTTAGCAACAATAGTCGTAGGTAATTTGCTATTCAAAGTCACGCTGCGCGCAAAAATGTATTCTCGCGTGATGATGTATGCATCACGCGCGTAATCGTACAGTCGGTTACACGAGCACATCGCTACACGTTCGGCTAAACAGATGATAAAATAAATCGTGACAAATTGCCAGCGAGATGTGGCAGTCTCGCGTCACGCAATTGCAGCGGCGACGCATGGTTTCACCGAGTTAAAGAATGAAAAAATACGACAGAGGAAGGAGGGGGAAACGTGCAAAATACATCGATTGAATTGCGCGCGATTTAACATAAATAAATATTTATTTATTGCATTTATTAATTATACATCCCTATCTTTTTAATAATAAAATATAAAATATGTAAAATTATACGTAAAATTAACGTTGCTTGTTTCTCAAAATATAATAATATATTTTGCATAAAGAGTGTACATGTATTTCAAGCAAGGACAATTAATAAAAATGGTGTCGCAATTTCCCCTTTTCCTCCTGCATTCTACAATAAAAAAATGTAAAAAAAAAAAAAGACAGACGACACCGGAATTATGTCTGCGCGACACGCGAAAGTAATTCCTGTGGCGGGTGACTTCCTGATTTCGCAGAGTTCAGCCTCCGCGGACTTTCCGACTGTGATGAAAGATTGCGCTTGCGCATGTTTCATCTCTTAAGTACATCCGAGAAGCTGATTCTCCGGTACTAACATTGGTGCTTGCAACGTGTTTGTTCCTCGCCATAGTTTCTCGTCAGACTTTTACAATTTCGCATTCGTAAGGAAAACAAAGAGGAGAATGACGAGGAGGAAAAAAAAGGAGGAAGGAATATAAAGGATAAGACAAGAAGGTGAAGACGAAAAAAGAGAACTTGCTAATAAAGGTAATAAAAATGTCGTAGAAACAACAAGTAATACGCGAGAAATATATTCTCAATAATAACAATACATTGCGAGGGAACAGTTATGAAATATAAATGCATCTCTCCCTCTCTCTCTCTCTCTCTCTGCCTATTCCTTTCACCGTATTCCTTTCATATGGTCCAGCGAGGCGAAAGGCAAACCTTCGAGCGCACGGAAATGGACCACTGAGTGCGCTCAGGCTCCGCATTAATGCATCACTAAGTAACTCGCGGTAATGAGCGAGTGGTTGCTGGCAAGTATCTGGTAAGTACGGAAGCAAGTAACGAATATGCGTCCTTTGCCATTCGACTTCCTTTCCGCAATATTCGAGTGTAAAATGATAGCCTTAAGTTATTTCTGCTTTCATGGAAATGTTCTTACACTCAATTACACAGTTGCATTTATGCATGTATATATTAAACATAATTATTATTTTTACGAAAACAAAGTTTCGTCTCGTGAACAAAATTTCTGCAAATTAAAGACAAATATCTTGGCACAAATAATAGACCGCCGAAAATCCAGTGAGTCGGTTTCACTAAGTACTAAAACATAGATTCAACAAGACCATTAACGAGCAACAATGTATATGTTGATTGTTTGCCGACGAAAATGTACGGCGCTTTAGTCATACACAAGTAGACTCGTTATAATGTTCTATGGCAGTTAACCTCTTGTTAATTAAATGTTAGATGTTTCAAAAGAGATCTTCGTTGACGGGAATCCAAATAGGAAAACGTACATGTGTATAAAAAAAATAAATTTAGAAAATTTCAATATTAAAAATTTGTTTGTCAAATTTGTGTGGAATAAATGACAGTCTTTTTCTCGTGATTTTCCCTCTGATTTTATTTGCATCGCAAAAAATAAAACTGCTACTCAGAACAAAATTGTGATACATCTCCACTTTTAAAGATCTCGTTAGTCTACAGATTTACGTCAACGTCAACTAAATGAGAAGATTGCGCGAGCTTTTTAAAAATTGGACGGGAAAATCGGGAAAAAAAATAAACAATTCGCATCTTATACAATATATTTGCTTGCACGAGAGCAATCCCACGCATGCCCCTCTTATTACGCGTTCTCGTTTCCCTTTACTTTCTATGTACCGGTACGAGCTAGCAATGCGCAAATTCGTGCCGCAATTTCGCCGTAATTTAATTTAACGCGGCATCGTCCGAGCAAACTTTCTCGCTTCCTAAATCCCCCGAGTAGGTGAGCTTGCTCCCGCCGAGCTAAAGCGGGCACAAGCGGATGAATTTTTATCGCTCTCTTCCCCTACCCCCCTCTCATCCATCGTATCGCCGTTCCCTGTCACGCTCTAATTTACAGGCTGATTTTTGGCGAAATTGTGAAATTGCAGTTGGCAAATGTAGAAGGGAAGAGAAAGATGCGATTGCGCGAGGCGGAAGCTTCATTTCGTATTTGGGGGCGAACATATTCGCCGGATTCAATTAGTGTGTAAACTACTTCCTGGGTTGAAACCTCAATATAAATTCTAGCCGGTTACACGATAATCCTGTATTATTATTGTTATTATTATTGTTGGGCGAATAAATTATTATATGACGTACTGTTACATCCTACACATAGTTCATTCGCTTATTCGATCCTCCAGTAAAACAATTCTAAAATACTATCGAGAGAGGAGAATTACGAAAAACAATTTTTATATATATATATAAATCATATTTTTGACGTTGGTTATTCTTGACATTCCACGTTACTAGTTTCAGTACTCCATATTTTTCTGTATTGTATCGCAATGTCTCGTTGAATTGTTTGATAGCGGATTTGTGGAGCTCTCTCAGTCGCGTTCGTGCACGACCCTAGTAATTTCCAATACAACGCTGCGGATCGAAAGGATTAAGAGCATCTATGGATATACGAACGGAAGCGAAAATGGCGTGTTGTGTTAGTAACGTGCGATCTTTTCAGTCATCATCTATATCTGTAAGCTGCGACCGATAAATCATATATCGCAATAGTAATAGAGTGCAGCAACATCCATTTTAAGAAATACATATGTCTATTAAGAGCTCAATGACAAATCTATAATTCTTTGACGATCATTTTTAAACTGGACACTCTATTTGCAAGTGGTTACAGATACATAATTGATATGTAAGATATAAAAGACGTTTCACAGATTCTCTTATTTCAGAACAGTTATCGATTCAACGATAATTATTATTATCACTTCTATTATATCTCCAGAAATATTGATTATTGATTATTATATATTAGTTACATCAGAAATATGAGCCAAATGACATTTGTCATTTGAGATAATAGATTGAAAACGGATGTCAGCGCAAAAAGAAGCAATTATTTTGTAACAGTATAGATAAATTAAAGAGAAATATAAATAATAATTAATATAATTAAAACATATTTTTGTTCAAATGTTTATTTAAATGTTAAAATGTTAAAAAATTTTAAATATGTATTTTGAAAAAAAGATATGTTATATATAATCGTGTGTGTGTGTGTGTGTGTGTGTGTGTATTTAAAATATTTGCAAAGAAAGATATATTATAATTGTATTTATTTTTTCACAGTATTTTTAAATTTTTTAATATTTTAAATATTTATACCAAATAAATTTATTAAAATTTCATGAAGCGCGTTGACTATTAATGATGACATTGGATGGATTTAAAGAATAGATCCGTTTCCCATTTTCGTGTCATATTGGAAATGTCGTTTCTTGTCTCTTCCGTACGATTACACTAAAGGTATTCGCGTCACGCGATTTTATGGGTGATACATCGAAAGCACATGAAAGCACCATGAATATTTCGATGCGCATCAAGAAAATGCACACGGAATAATAGAATAAAACAACGCGAATGAATGAAATCCCTTTTAGAATTTTATGGAGTGTGATTTTTTCTCAATTTTTCAGATCGACAAGTGTTTCCTGAAAGGGTGATAGAGAGAAATTAAATTTACAGATAATTTTAGAAATAACTAAATAAAAGACCTTGCAATTATCGTACACGTTTTGTTTTTAACTAACTCACATTTCAGAAGAATTATGTTCTTTGTGATACTTAATATTACATATTATATTAGAATTATCTCTCTTCGGATGTGTATAAAATTCGAGATACAATACATTTACAATACATTTAAAAATTATATAAATTAGAATAAATAATTTAAAGATAAATTGCTGGATTAACTTTCGTCAATGTTATGTTTCTTCACAATTTGCGCAAACGCTTCGAAAGTTCCCCGGTGTGGAATTACGTCAACGAAATTAACATTCGCCCGATAGACGACAATTTGTCTTTGCGCCATTAAAATTCTTCGAGGAACTCCCAGAAGGAGTTTCCAGTTGAAACATCCTCCAACAACTCGGCTGAAGTAGTCGGAGTCCTCGAAATGTCGCAAAAAGTTGGCCGATGTTAATGGCTCGGTACGATTACGTGAACCGCAAAGCAGCGCGAGCGGTAGCCGCGACGGGAGCGGCAAAGAACAAAGTACCGTTATTCCTTGCGCCGAGATGCAGCAGCGATACTCTCGGCTCCTGGAGCATCCATGCCACCGTGGACGAACTTCTCGCCGTTGAATTATGCATGATTTTCTGCCCTCGGCCGCGTCGCCGTAGCCGCTAACCACCCGCGTCACCGCCACTTTCGCCGCGCCTTATTTAATAATCGCGGCGAGATCTCTGGTATTAGAGAAAGGCAATGCTGAGTGAAAGAGCTTATATGAACTCAGCTTATACTACACATCCGAATCGTACTATCCTCCGGACCGAGATTCGATAAATTAAAAGAACATGTGAAAGTCGTATTTTTTAATTCGCTAATCGAACATTCTTTGAATTATGCAAATTTCAGGGACACACATTTATAATTTTATACCCATTTTTCATCTACAAATTTAAATATTAATTAATATTTAATATTTATATAATTA